AATAAGAAAGCATATTATTAGAGTTGTTAAATGACTTGACCAAATTTGGACCAATTTGTATCCGACTCTAATAATAAATAGGTCAAAAAACTCAACATAACCTCTACTTGACCCAGACACAGTTAACATGAACACGACCCATTTAACGTATCAGTTCAAAATTTTTTAATTAAAATGTATACTTCTACCATTTAACAAGTGACAATAGACAAATTTAAAAAAAAATCTATATTTATATATGACAAGCAATGATAAAGAGTTAAAAGTAAAAATAAATTTTTCGTGTTTATTCGAGTAATGTTTGGATTTTCAGGTTTAACTTAAACCCCACCTGAAATTTTTACGTGTGGAACTCTCAGGCTGAACTCAACTCAAAAAATATTCGGGTTCGGGTCAACCCTAACCCCAATTTTTTGAGTTAATTTTTGACACCCTACTGATTATGTCGTAAATAAGATTTATTTCATGATTAAAAATATGCTGAAATTTAAAAGATAAATATTCAAAATTAAATATATTTAACCGGCACACAAAATATATCAAAAGTGTATTTTTTTTTCTTAATGAAAATTCTAATATATTCTAATTTTAAGAATTTAATAATTTTAGTAGTACCCTAACTCAAACTGATAAAATTTGATATCAATAGATTTTATAATTATCACATTTATTTTGAAATAAATATATTATATAGCTAATAATTTTAATTTACATTATATTTATTTTAGAACAAATCATCATAAAATCAGCTAAAATTTTCCAGTTTTTAAGGTACGATATTCATTATTATATTATAAATAAATAAAAAGATTAAATAAATAAATAAATTATTTACCCATAGCATCCCCTTGATGATTGCATCTGAATATCTCTCTGGTTCCTCTTCCTGCAAAGCAAGCATTACATCAGCTAATGTCTTCTCCTCCTCCTCCTCCTTCCCCACCACCCTTCTCCTCTTTCTCCTCTCATACACCATGCGCTGAAACCTCTCATCCGTCTCCTTCCCCAATCTCATCATTCCCCTCTTCCTTGTTGGGATTTTTTCTTTAAGATTCCCAAATTAGTCCCCCCAAACCCAACCAATGAGTCCAAGGTACAAAATCCTCCATGCTCGAGATACCGCTAAGTCTAAACGCCTCCTCTATCATCCTCCAAAATCTCTCCTCGTAGTTCTCCCCACCATCCACCATTCTCATCATAGAGTTAAAAGTCAGCCTCTTTAATCTTGTCTTCATCTCGGCGCGACTCCAATTGTTGTCGGCGATGGCGGCGGAGGGGGGATTGGGTTTCGTCGGCACGGATTAGGGCTAAGGAGGCGACGCGGGAGGTGGAGAGTAGTTCGACGGTGGCGATTCGACGGAGGTTGCGGGAGTGGGGGCCGTAGGGGGCGATTCCGAGGATGGAGTGGTTGAAACCAAGGTACTTGCCAGAAAGAAGTAAAGGGCGATTGGCAAAGATTCTATCGTTGGTGGTAAGGCATTCTTCGGCAGCTGAGGGGGATGAGACGACGAGGACGAGGCGGGACCCGAAGCGGAGGTGGAGGATTGGGCCGTACGTGGATGAGAGGACGGCGAGGGTGCGGTGGAGGGGCTGAGAGGGCCAGCGGGCGATAAGGTGAAGGTGACCAATGATGGGGAGAAAACCAGGGATGGTGGGAGGTAGTTTCAGGTGGCTGTGCCGGCGGCTGGAGAGGATGAGGAGGAGGGTGATTGTGAGGACTGTTATCAAGTAGAACAGAGACGTGGCCTCCATCAGTTTGCTTGTTACTTCAGTGTTGGCGGTCATATGCTATATATAAAATTTTAGTACTAGTTTACTCTTGGTTAATTAAAAAAAAAAAAATTTACATGCCGCAACCTCCAAACTATAATATTTACATATTGCGGTCATAAAATTCAATTTAAAAAAGGCTTTTGCATGCCACGACCTCCGAACTATAATATTCACACATTACAGTCATAAAATTCAATTTTTACGGGTTAAGGTCTCCGTTCTCTGCTGTTCTGAAGTGGTCGAAGAAAAAGGCGGGTATGATTGCTGCAATTTCTTTTTTCCATATAAAAAAACAAGTAGATTCTTCACAATAAGAAGAAAGGAAAAAGAAGGAGAGAAGATGATAGGGGAAGCAGCCAAGAGGAAAAAAGAAGAGGATGGGCACCGATCGTGGAAGAGGGTGATTGCTTGGCACCAAATGCTGAAGCGGAAGGTTGCCCTGTAAGAGGTGCTACAGAGGAGAAATATTTGCGTACATAAAATGTACGCAGCGCTGCGTACATCAGAGGTTATTCTGGGGGTATAGGGGAGTTATATCCGGGTTATACCGGAGGTTACAAGGGGGTATAACCCAGATATAACCCTATTGTACTCCCTGGATAACCCCTGATGTACGCAGAGCTGCATACATCTTATGTACGCAAATATTTTCCGCTACGAGGGAGTTGGGCGCCGGGCGTTGGTGAAAGAGGTCGACACCAGGCGTTGCAGAGGAAATGTTGCCTGACAAGAGGCACTAAAGCGGCAGGTCATGCTTATTCCGAAATAACTCAAAAATAATGATCTCAGGTTATGTATGAGTTATTTCAGGATTATTAAAAATAACCCAGAAATAATCTGAAAATAACTCAGGAATACCCTCCTCCACATGTAGAGCTACGTCAGCAGTCCGCACAGAAAAATTATTACATGGGATATAGTCTAGTTAGATGGGATATTTTTATAAAAAATTCAAAATAATTACAAATTATTTAAAAGTGTGCTCTAAATATAACTATTTCACTTAAGTTAAAGAGCACGAGACTATTTTATATTTTTATAATTTTAGGAAAATTTACATATATACTAAAATCTAATGTATATACATATCTAACATCTAAATTTTAATTTTAAAATATATGCTAATGCAGTTATGCATGAAAATGAAAATGTGATATTTTTTATGTGATATGAAAGATAGGAGTGGTATAAATGCAAAAAAATTAAGGTTTTGATAGAGGACATTTAAATATGTAAGAATTGAGTGGTATGTATGTAAATATAGGAAAATCAATGATATAGGGAGACCGTGGCAGCAACCAACCAATCAAGAGTCGCTCATTTTTTAATGACGGCTTATTTTTTGTTTTTTTTAAAGACTGGTCAAAGTCGGCAATTAAATAAGTACAGATTTTGCCCGGTTTTTTTTTTTATTTATTTTTAGTGTTAAAATAGAGTGTAAAATAAAAAATAAAATAATATTTTAAATTAATTTAAAAATATTTAAGAGAATTTAATATTATTTGAATAAAGTAATTGAGAAAAATTTTGGGAGCTTAATTAATTTGTATTTTTTTAATTATTTTATAAGTAAAAAATATGTGAAAGTAAAAGAAAAAGCTACATGAGATGCATTTTTATCCAATTTTCAAAAAATTATTTTTAAAGGTAATTATAAGAAAAATTCATAAAAAAAATCTAATTACTTCAATTAATTATAGCTGAATTACGCAAAAAATTCTGAGTTAAGAAATATTTCATAAAATTTAATTAATATAAATCACAAAATTATTAGATTTATTTTTTTATAAATATAATAAAAGTGTAAATATTAAAAAAGTTATATTTAAATAGTTTTTAAATAAGTCTAATATGCTTAAAATTAATTAATTAAAAACTTTGAGGTTTTTTTCAATTCAAGAAAAGCGTTTTCAGGTAAATTAATACATCAAAAAATAATTTAAATAATTTTAAAATAAATTAAAATAAACGTCATAAGAAATCAATCTGCATCCCAATTATGAAAGCAAGAGCAGTTAATTGGCTGGAAACATGATTGGCACCAAATTAATAATCCTAATGTGGAGCCCATATTTGCTAGTGAATTACACTTAATGAATACAACATAGAAAAAGTTAGAAAGAGAGAGAGAGAGAGAGAGAGGGAGGACGACGATATATTGAAATAAAGGGAGAGATTGTATGACGAGATCTTGTCACCAAGAATCTCTGAGTGAAACACTGATGCATGACAAAATAAGAGGGACCCATGATCAATATTTGTCATAATCCAGCCAAACACTAGTTCATCTTATCGGAGTGAAGATCAACATTGAATCAAGAGAAAGGAGTCTCATAACTCGGTTGAGTCTTCCTTATTTTGTATGAGGGTCGATCGTCACAATGAACTGAATGAAAGAAGCAACTCTCTCCCTAACAAAGGGATAAGACGAATTGAAAATGAAAGTTGTGTTGTGTTGAGAATTTTAGGGTGAAGAAAACACAAAAATCGACACAAATCAATAAAAAAACACAAAAATTTAATGAGGTTCAACAATTTACCTACGTCATTGGAAGCGGAGCGGCAACTTTTCTTTCAATTCGGAAAAAAAGTACAATTCCCCTTTTAGAGTTATAATAGGACATATATATAAGTAACTTTCGCGTACGATATATAATTGCAAAATTACCCTTGTACCATACCGCGACGGTGTTGCCCCCACACCCCCAACCCTCGTAACGAAAAAACTCCTCTAATTGGACAGATACTTACACTCCAATCTGCTAGCTCGCTCCGTTTCGCTCTAGCATCTTTCCCTTATCTGGTATATACGTAATACCTAACATGTTGCAAATATGTTTTTTTTTTGTCACCAAAGAGCATCTATACGATTCACACATCGTTCGCCCCACTAGTGTCGAACGAATCGATATACTATAAACGGTCGAGGGCTTTTATGTTCGACCAATCAACATGTTATAAAATGTATTTATAAACCTATATTGTATAAAAGTCTTTAATACCCTTATGGATGTTCCAAAAACAATGATCTTAAACGTAATTGTATGATTTATATTTCTCTTATAATTATAAATAGGGGATAATTTTATGAATGAGAGTTTATATGCGCTGACAACAATTTTGAGGTCTTTCTTTCCCTCTCCTCAGAGCCTAAAATCTAGTCTTAGGATTTTCCTATTTTGACTCTCCTATAGGACTAGACTAGACCCACACTTTTAGAAATTCGAACCATTTCTTCACTCGTAGTTTCATATGGACGGTTTCAAATCCTCAGCATATAGCTGAGTCGATTAAAACCAACATATTGAATCTCAAATTGTGCTCCCTATAGGGATTTGCACAAAAATCGACACAAATAAATAAGAAAACAAAAAAAATTAATGAGGTTCAACAATTTATCTACGTCATTGGGAGCGGAGCGGCAACTTTTCTTTCAATTCGGAAAAAAAGTACAATTCCCCTTTTAGAGTTATAATACGACATATATATAAGTAATTTTCGCGTACGATATATAATTGCAAAATTACCTTTGTACCATACCGCGAGGGTGTTGCCCCCACACCCCCAACCCTCGTAACGAAAAAACTCCTCTATTTGGACAGATACTTACATTCCAATACGCTAGCTCGCTCCATTTCGCTCTAGCATCTTTCCCTTATCTGGTATATAGTAATACCTAACATGTTGCAAATATGTTTTTTTTTTACCAAAGAGCATCTATACGATTCACACATCGTTCGGCCCACTAGTGTCGAACGAATCGATATACTATAAACGGTCGAGGGCTTTTATGTTCGACCAATCAACATGTTATAAAATGTATTTATAAACCTATATTGTATAAAAGTCTTTAATACCCTTATGGATGTTCCAAAAACAATGATCTTAAACGTAATTGTATGATTTATATTTCTCTTATAATTATAAATAGGGGATAATTTTATGAATGAGAGTTTATATGCGCTGACAACAATTTTGAGGTCTTTCTTTCCCTCTCCTCAGAGCCTAAAATCTAGTCTTAGGATTTTCCTATTTTGACTCTCCTATAGGACTAGACTAGACCCACACTTTTAGAAATTCGAACCATTTCTTAACTCGTAGTTTCATATGGGCGGTTTCAAATCCTCAGCATGTAGCTGAGTTGATTAAAACCGATATATTGAATCTCAAATTGTGCTCCCTATAGGGATTTGAAAGCCTTAAGGATACCCGTCGACGTATGACGATTGACTTTCTGCCGAACACAATTCGCTTGATTTTTTGACGTAGCTTGTGCGATGACCGGTCAACAATTTGCTCGTTAAACGGCTTCGGTCGGACCAAATAACTTCATATATCGCGACACACACACATTGGAGTTAAATTGGCTCGATCACCGGCGAATTTGTTTGGATAATCTCAGATGACGAGATGGATTGCTCGATCACGTCCGGAACGTCGATTTTACTTATGAAGTATACCTACATTGATATAATTTCACGCACTGCAAATAAAATGCACACCGAGACTTTTAAATAATAAATATTATAAAATAATATTAAAAATAAAAATAAAAAAATGCACACACCCATCTACTTTGTTTTTTTTTTTTAATTCACACATCATAATATTGGTTATATTTCATGTTTAAATTCACTCAAAATGAACACACCCATCGACTTTGTTTTTTTTTTTTTAATTCACACATCATACTTTGGAGGTTTCATACTGGTTATATTTCATGTTTAAATTCACTCAAATTTGGGCGTGAAACCCTTTGCCATAAGCTTGTTAAATGCATTTCAAATTTGTAAATATAAGCCAAATTCAAATACCTTTGACTTCGCCAAACTTTAAATGAATTGGGACTTTTCTTTGAACCATATACTTCCATAAACCTATTGAAGTATTTCAACAATCATTTGAATCACTTTGAACACCTTGATGATCACATTTGGAATTCTTTGAAACTTCTTTAAGATGCTTCCATGGGTTAATCCATCTAATGCAAGTCTCCCCCGGGCTGTAAATAGCCACTCAATT